TCCAATACAAATCCAACTACCTATCACCCGAATAAATATATTATTTCCTTCACGAATTAAATATATGATTCAAAATATTTTCTATTCTCAATAGTCAGTTTTCATCTTATATTGATCCTTTAATACCCTTGAATAGTGTTGGTTGCAAATTCTAAAACATCTTCAAAAAGTCTCAACTATTTATCATTAGTAGATACTGATAGTTGTACAAGTTTTATTTTGATTTATATGTTATTTTTTTAACGGTCGCATTTTTATAAATGTTTGTAGCTGTTTGATATCATGCATTTATGTATGCAATAAATAATATATTAAAATGAATGCGATGTGCACATTAATTATATATTTATAGTGCTTCTATATGCATAACTGACTATGATTATATGTTTCTATTAACTGTTTCGATATACATGACAGACTATGATGAAGTCGTCTATTTATGGCACTAGCGAGGGGAAAGCTAAGGGACCCGTGCACCTAAATGGAAAAAAACAATGATATTGAAGTGCCTTAATTGAAATAATTTTTACTTGGTGCTTTTCTGACAGTAGTACAGATAAAAAATAATATAAAAATATTATTGATATAATAAAACACATTGATAACACCTAAGTGATCATATGTTTTATTCTGATTTACTATAAACTTAACTAGCATGTGCATTGTATCTTTTTTATTTATATTATTGTACTATAAGAGGATGAGCATTCACTAGCTTTGTTTAGCTTATTGTTGTTATAAACTAATATTACAGGTTTGCTTAAGTGAATAAAATATGATTGATAGAAATAAAAATATTTATAGAAGACGCGGACAAGTTACAAGATAAATTTAATTATGTTGTCATAATTTATTTTTTTTATTGCCTCTTTCATCTGTAAAATATTATTTATAGAAAATACATATATAAACTTAGTTCTCACCGGGTCGTGACAAAAGTAGTATTAAAGCCAGTATTTAGGATTAATTAATGAGATCTTGACGAAAGAACCAATAGGATAATTAAAAAAATTTAATAATAAAAAAATTAAAAATTTAAGTTAACTCAAATTAATAATTATAACCATTTAGGCATAGAAGTGCGAATGTCCTGGCCCAGATGATGGCTTTGATGACTCAACTGATTTTAAAATCGAGATCACAGCCTAACATAAGTGATACAGTTGTTATAGATAAGTACTTGAAGATATTCAAAGATTTGAGTCCACCATTGTTTAAGGGAACAAAAGATTTGATTGAAACAGAAAATTGATTGATGCAAATTGTGAAGATAATATATATTATGATGTGCTCAGCTAAAATAATTCATTCACTACGTCTATACTAGATGGAAAAGCTGAAAAGTGGTGGCATGGGTACTGTCAGGATAAGCTACGGGACAAACCCAATATAATGGTCAGTTGGGAGGAGTTGGGTTTGTGCCATATCAGCTCAAAGACAGATGAAAAAGGTTCAACAACTTGGTGTAGAGAGAGAAGACAAGCATGCAGTATAAAGTAGAATTCATTGTATGCGTCACATTTGATCGTTGCTGTAGAAGAAATTGAGATACGTCCCATAGGCAACTTAACGATCTTTGCAAGGATTGATAAGTTTATAAGCACTCACGGAACATATTTTCTAACATAATAGCGTCAATTCTCTAAATATAACTGTCTCAGTTCCCCAAGTATAATTGCATCAGTTCCCCAAGTGTAACTCTGTCAGTTTCTCGAGTATAAAAACAATCAGAGGAAGTACTATTATCAATATTTAATATGTGAAATCTCAAATTTTTAGATGTAATGAATATAAAAAAAACACTTTTTTATATTGTGTTTTTCAAAGATAAGAAGGGTTATACAAAACAATTATGACAGTATTTCTTCTACAAGTAGGAATAACTTTAAGGAAGGAATTACTTTAGCTCGTCACCACTCCAAGTTCGAGGGATGTCGTTCCCTGCAAATCTCTTCAGTCTGTATGCTTCAGTTACAACTTTTTAGTGGATGATGTAGGGGTCATTCCAGGTTTGATCCAGTTTCCCGATAGCTTGCCTCCTAGCGTCGAGGACAGACTTCTTCAGCACCAGGTAGCCTAGGGCAAACTTCTCTTCGTCTACGTGTTTGTTAAAATATTTGGCTATCCTTTGCTAAACCTCTTCTTGTTGGAGTGCTGTGTTGGCTTAATTCTCCTTGGCAAGATCTAGAGTCAGTCTGACTCCTCCGCCATTTGCGCCACACTCCTAGATCTTCCTCGTCGATAGCTGAGGCGAAGTGTACCATCTGGTTATGATTGTTGTATTTGACCGGTAACATGGTTTCCATTCCATGGGACAACATAAAGAGGGTCTTTCCGGTGGATGCAGACGGTGTTGTTTGGATTGCCCAAAGTACCGAAGAGATTAGGTCTGCCCAATTTCCCTTTGCTCATTATACATTTTTCCTTAGCAAATTTATTATGATTTGTTTGTAGTCTTCGTTTGTCTGTTAGTTCGAGGGCTTTATACAGAAGCAAATTTGAGGTTGTTCCCTTAACTTTTACAGAAATCTTAAACTCTTTTACCGGCGAACTGGGTCACATTATCTGTAACTATGACGAGGGTAATTCGTATCAGCAAATCAGGTTAGCCAGGATGAAATTTTGGACTACCTCCGTCGTTATGTGTGCCAGAGGCTTTTACTTCTACTCACTTGGAGAAATAACGTTTCATCTCTCCTTTATATTAAACAAATTGCTTGTTGACTCAAGCGCCTTCTTGTTTAAACTTTCCTTTCATTTCTTGATGCGGAAGCGCCAATGCTCGCATGGGCAAGGCAATTGCTGCATGCAGATCGGCTCAGTCTAAGCGGGAAACGAACCTAGGGTTCTTCCTTGCGCAAGTTTCTCTCTTATTTGGAGCGGGGCCCACTCGAATTTACTCTAGGACTACGCGTATGTTATTTATTATGTTTTTAAGTCAATATTGTTTTGCTTCAAATTTTCTATCATTGGTGTATTTTTCCCTTGTTGGAGTTGTATACAATGATAGGTGGTGCTCCGACTGTATCTTGCTCCAAGGTGGTGATTATCTACTCGTCTTCTTCCCTCTCTCACCTCTCCTCTTGTTGTCGCAACCTCCAACGGTCCGTTGCTTGTTGTAGCCCTTGCAAATCCACTTACCATTTGTTGTGGCACCCTTTAACATCCTAACTTGTTGTTGTCGCCCCTAACAACCCATTTATTGCTTGATAACGCCCCTACCAATCCTCGCCTTCTTGCTATCCAACCGCAAGACAAATCTTCCCCTCGTGCCGCTAGACCTCTACCACCTACAACTTTCAATTTCCACTATCTCAACACATTGCCTACCACCTTTGAACCTCCCCCTAAGGGGTTTGGTGTTTAGGTTGTTGTTTTCCTGTTCTCAAGTGTCTTTGTTTCTAACACCCCTTTTAATTCCAACAGTAATATTATCATTCCGTTCGGTATCATTTGGCATCAAAGCTAGGCTCACCATAGTCATATCCTAGAGGTTTCAAGCATCCGTCATAACTCATACCTATCTCCACACTCCCAAAAAAAAAAAAAATCGTTCTCATTCCCATACCCTCTCTGACTCTCACATATCCAAATCCTAACCATGCCACCAAGGAGACACCTGTCGAAACTTTCCCGGGAATAGAAACAACAAGAAAAGTGTTGACTTTAGCAGAGATTTGTCGAGATTGATGATAGGACCCAGGGGAAATTACCCTCGAGCATTATATAGAATAGGGTTGTAAACTAGTCGAGTCAAGTCGAGTTCGACCCACCCTTAACTTGAAATTGAGCTGGACTAATTTTATTGAGTTCGAGATCAAGCTTAAGTCTACGAGTTCGTGATCGACTCACAAGCCGACTTTTTTATTATAAAAAAGGGAAAATAATATTAATTTAAGATAGTGTTACAATAAAATGACAAATATAATTAGCAATTAGTAAAGAAATAATAAGAAATTACTCAATATAAAATATATAAAATATTTTTTAAATATATTTGAAATCTTTAAATTTAATATATTTTGAGTATAATTTATATTTATATTTTTTAAACGAGCCAGCTCACGAGCTAATAAGTTGAATTGGGGCTAGCTTGAGCTGTGTTGTTAGCTTATTGAGCTCAATTCACGAGCCACTTATCAAGCCAGCTCACGAGTCGGCTTGACTCACACCTCTAATATAGAGTCGAAGAGGAGAAAGCGATGAGAATGAGAATATTTATTAAAATCTTTTATTATCGGGCATTACACACCTAAAATTATCAAAGGAGCGCATAATCATTAAGGGCATAACATGCCCTAATAGTTAAAGGTCATTATGCTCTGCCTACCTATACATGATGAATTTTTAAAACCACTCAAGTCAATAATGTGGTCCAATTAGGCTAAAACTCTGTTGATTATATGTTCTGACGTCAAATTCTTGAACTTTCCAACCCAAAATATGTGTTAGAAGCAGCACAACCGTTATCAATTCACGAGCCACTTATCAAGCCAGCTCATGAGTCGGCTTGACTCACACCTCTAATATAGGGTCGAAGAGGAGAAAGCGATGAGAATGAGAATATTTATTAAAATCTTTTATTATCGGGCATTACACACATAAAAACATCAAAGGAGAGCATATACATTAAGGGCATAACATGCCCTAATAGTTAAAGGTCATTAGGCTCTGCCTACCTATACATGATGAATTTTGTAAAACCACAAGTCAATAATGTGCTCCAATTAGGCTAAAACTCTGTTGATTATATGTTCTGACGTCAAATTCTTGAACTGTCCAACCCAAAATATATGTGTTAGAAGCAGCACAACCGTTATCACACAGCTTAACATTATAACCAACAGAAAAACATACTTTGTAGGAAGATATGAGGCACTGCAAAAAGCAATACTAAAAAGCTCACCGTATGGATCAAATCAATTGCAGTTAATCAAAAAGAATGTCAAATAAACAGCTTATGCTATGAGATGTGGTGACATCCTTGTCAATCATAACAGGCAGCTGATGGGAGAAGATATTAACGGGCTGAGTATCAAAGAACTACAAAACTTAGAGAACCAGCTAGAAACAAGTCTCCATGCGATCCAGCAAAAGAAGGTCTTTAGATCCAACATGTCAAATTATGCCCAGTTTATCCCTGATTTCAATTATTTTTATAATGTTTTGATCTCTTTTGTAGGAACAAATTTTAATCAATGAAGTTCAAGAACTAAATCAGAAGGTAGTTCGCACAAATCTGATTAAACATGTCAGATTATTCTGCAATCTGCAATACTTTTTCATTTTTTCTTTTTACATTTTTTTTATTTTTTTATTTTTTTGCAGATTGCCCTCATGCATCGAGAAAAAATGGAACTCTGTAAAATGCTAAACCTTTGTCGCCAAGAAAATATGGAATTAAACAAAAAGGTATTCATCAAAGATCAAACCAACCACTAAATAGCAATAAATTTCAAAGCCAGTAAAATGTAAACGATGTTGATAGCATTGAAGCTCATATTTTATTTGTTGCATGACATAAGAATTGTTTGTCAGGTTAATGCAACTAAAGGATGCAGAGGAGGATCTACTTCTGCCAATTCTGGTAGCCCAATATCAATCTGTCTTGAGTTAAGCCCTCCACAACAGAAAATTAATGAACTGCATGAGGACTGCCCGAAATTAGGGTGAATATCTTTTTCCTTCCTTTAAGAGTACAGCATATTGACGTCATACAAGATTTAATTGAGAAAAACAATTTGAATTTGCAGCAGACTCCAATTGTATTAAGATGCCCCAAGAAGAGTAGATGATTCTCCATGGTCAAGATTATAAACAACTGGTATATTACATTCATTAGTGAATGTAAAAGCAACACTCAGTTCAACTGAAATAAAAATAAGAGATTATCATAAAAGAACGAATTCATATGTAATGCAATATAGCACTTAGTAAAGACAATTTCTTTTGACATTTGAGTATGACGTTATGACACTTAATGGTAAATGAACGCAAGTTAATTCTCAGAAAAAAGACACTTCCAAAATGGCAGTTCAATAACAATTCATTTCCACCAATTAAATATGAGCCGCATTAACAAGTATGCTAGTTTGCAGACAGTATGGCATGCATTCAAAGCGAGGCCTTTTAACTCCATCTGAATAAATTGGACCTAATAATGATGAATACAGAACTGCAAGATGGTAGCTTTTTTACTTCATATACATTAACTAAACTTCACCAAAACGAATAAAGAACTACAAGATGACGACACCAACTCGTTTCAAATGTACAAACTTTTATTACTGGATATTTGATTGGAGGGATTTTAAACATATAACATTTCAATTGGGTGTTTTGAGTGTTTGATCAAGGTGAGAATTATTTTGAAGTATATAACATTTCAATGAGTGTTTTGAGTGTATGATTCAAGGTGAGAAATATTTTGAAGCAGCCTCTTGATACCTCAGGCCTGTCTAAGATTGGGCTGTAAACGAGCCGAGCTCAAGTCG